GGGTATGCGTTTTATTTATAAAGAGTTGCATTGTAATGGTGAAGGGTACTAGGCTAGAGGGTGCCTTATCGATAACGCTCTATAGCCGAGGCACGCGTCACGTCATCTTCTGCGCTTGCATTGGTGGCATCTTTGCTACGCGCACCGTTTTGCTCCTGCGTTTATCAGCATGCTCACACTATGTGATTCCGTGGTGCTCTCTGACAATGCGCGTCATTTCTGGGTTTGCATGATTCCCACATCTATCGAATTCTTAAAGGACACTAACAGATTTCAGCGGCAAAGCGATGTGACAGCTCCAAGGACACGCGCGGAATCTCGACACTCATCAAAGACTCGTGGATTGAGTCATTCCTCTGCCACTCGGCCTTTCTTTCCCCTCTTGGACCTGCCATATTGAGGCCCTCACTCCGCTCTTCGACGCTTCCTTCGCTTCTTTGCTCCTCCATGCCTTGTTCCTCGTCCTGAGATTCCTCGGCTTGCTCTGCTTCCTTCACCATCTCGGCCGCTGCGGGAGCTCGGAGCACAGGGTGTTCCTTGTTGGATATATCGATTACTGCCAGAAGATCTCCCTTTCGCGTTCGCGGATAATCATCGCACGCGCCCTGCCACTGTCCGGCTCCGACGGCCTCGTGTGCAAGCCGCTGTAGCTGCAGTGTATCGTTTGTGACCCACTCAATACTGGAAAATGGCTTTTTCCGCTGCAGACGCGCAGCAACGGACGGTAGACAGGCAGCGATAAGCATGATGAGGCTTCCGATGGAAAACATCAATATAAGGCCGAGCACGTTGAACGAAGTATAGGAGTCGCTTCTGATCTTCTGACTACCACAGAGCGCTCGTGCTTCCGGAGACGTGGGCGCTGAAAAGAATGGCACAGCCTCTGGGACAACTGGACCAGTCGCTTGCTCGAGTATGGCTCGTTGTAAGTCAGCCATCGTGAATTTGAACCAATGCTCCAGCTCCAGCTCCCACTGATTGTCTGGTAAACCACCCTGCCCACTATTTGAGACATAATCACTCGCGAGAAGCGATCCGCCCTTGAGCTGTTTGACGAGTTCATGGAAGCCACCGGCCATATCCCTGATGGCGCGTAAGGACCAAAGGAATCTCTCAGAATCTTTGGGCTGTGGAAAGAGTGTTGAGGAGGCTATTCTTGTGGCCTCAAATATGCCATTCAGCGGCGTACAGTTTTCGACTTCTTCTAAGGATGGCCGGCAAAATTGGTATTGCTGAACACATGCTAGTGCTCTAATTGGCAGCTCGGTAGCGTAAGAAGTCAGGTTCCCAAACTTCTGACCGCGGTTGACCACCTTGTCCAGAGCTTCAAACCATAAGTCGGTGACGGGTTCGAGATACCTGATATCCTTCATCTGAAGGAAGTACACACCGAGGTCTGCGTCAGGAACTTCCAGTTCCTGGATTGGCCGCCAGGCATCGTTTGAAAAGACTTCGTCGTTGTTGATAACGTTGTAGCGTGTGACGGCACTTGTACGCATGTTTAGTTGTAGAAGTATTTGATCGACGAGAAGGACTTACGAAACCGAGTACTCGCTTCCTAAAGGTCCTCGATGAGTGTCCGCATCAGCAAACTGAAGAGTGCACTCAAGGTCGTTGCTTTCACAGAAACCTTCATTATAGTGTCCATACAGGAACTGAACACTCCACTGGGGTTGCGTTGAATTTCTGTATGTGTACCCCTCGCCGCGTATTGGGGCACATTCGTTAACGGTTCGATAGAGAAATCTTGAGGAAGGTGGCGAATTGATACCTAGATCAGAGTGACTATTCAGGAATCCAGAATCCAAACGGAGGGCCGCTGTCGGAGAATGACATATCTTGCTTTTGCCCGGGAAGGGGCAGGAAATGCCAGTCGTGACCGTCACAGGGAGGGTATCTCGGACAAATTTGCGGCAGCTATCTGCTGACCCCGACTTCCTATAGCAAACTGACTCATAGTTGGCGCTTGCTCTGGTCCTACTGGCAATATACGATTGAGCTACGCGGTAGTTTTGTCCGGTGAACAGGGAACTGTTCAACGTAGCACACCTGTCACCAACGAGAAGAACCTCGCCACCCCTCGTAGTGGCTACTCGCGAAGAGAATACTCCGGCTGTGCTGAAAGCGCAAAAGGTCGCTAAGCTGAGGACTAGTGGTAATGACACCGATCTGAGTAAAGCGGGCGGAACCACCACCTTCCGCCAGGCCCAAGACATTCTTGATAGTCTCCAAAAAGCCGCTGTACTGGTCTCGGAGTTGCGAAGTATTGCTTGCTTTTGGTGGTATAATGCACTTTGTGGTATCTTTCGGCTTATGTTCTGATGGATGGCGAATGAGACGATGGTCCAGAAACAGGTTCCAGTAAACGTAGTGAACAGCGCAAGGAAAGCGATGAGCAGACCGCCATTTTGAAGAGTAGTCGTGAGTGTGAGGCCGGCTATCGAGCCATGAGACCAATTTGTCCAGACTCCAAGGTAAACTGACTCGTATTCGGATGCCATGGTATCTAGGTGACGTTTTAGGGTGACAAATATTATCTTGGAGATGTACAATAGATATACAGGGTCTTGTTAACGATTGGAAGTAGGTTATTGGTAATAGTATACAGTGTTTTTGTGGAAGGTATGTGTCTAGCTATCGAAGCAGATTGTAAAGAGTTGTGCATCGCCAGAACACGATAAAGTACGCAATGCAGCTCATAACTCTGCTACCTGCTGTCTCTTCTATATTTAACGGACGAGATAGCGTCTGATAGAGCGGTTGCGCGAACATACTTGTCGTTAAGATGCTTCCACGGTGTAGAACGAACCATTGGAAAGGTAGAAGCGACTTGCAGCGAGGCGCAGTTTGTTGCGATGATAGCATTAGCCGTATTGGGTAGTAGGCCAGAGCTAAGATCATAGGTTTGTGCTCTTCGAAGTGGGGGCGGGGAACGCGGAGAGATAAGAGGACGAAGGCACAAGGCTGAGCAGCGAAAGTCTCACTGCTTTTCCCACACGAAGATACAGACTTCAACTGTATGGGCTACATATTCCACATTACCCGCGATTTAATGCAGTGGTAAATGTTGGGAGGTTTCTTCACCGCACAATTCCATCGAGTTTCAGCTCATGAGGTTCAAAGGCCTTGGACACCGTGGCAATGGCGCCTGCGGATGGGTCAGCCTTCCCTGGATACACAGCATCATGCATATTATTATAAGCTATGCTGTAACACGAAGACGGAGGAGGAGTCGACACATGCACGAAAGGTTGATTTAAAATAGCCCCAGAGAATGAAAGGGTGCTCCCATGAAAACAATACTGGCATAGGGACCGTCTTCATTTGGGGGCTGAAAATTAGCAAACCATGGACTGATACCGAGAATAGTAGATCTGCGAATGTTGTGCGACAGCCGACGGCCTATCATACCGCAGATAGCGCAGCTACCAAGGCTGCACACCATCCTTGTTGATAACTTTGCCGCTATCTTCGTCTCTGTTCCCTTCCACAACATCCTTGATGAACACGCCCCCAATACTTGGGTCGCCCGCACCCCATTTCTTCAACATTTCCGGCCCCATGCCTCCCAATCCCGTAGCCAGAAATCCGGGGCTGATGCCAAAGACTTTGACTCCATCGACGCTAAGACTTTGTGTCCAGTCTAGCATCATCATGTTCATCCCAGCCTTACTCGAGCGATAAGCTGTTTGGGCCATGGATGGTGGCTTGGGCCAACCCTTTGGCGGCGGTGCGTTCATGAGCTTGGAATTGAAGCTACTGGAAGAGTTTTCGAGGGAAGACAGACCAGAAGTCACGAAGAGAAGCCTAGGGTGTTTGGAGGCTATCAATAGGGGCGCGAAAAGATGGGTCACTACTTGGGTGGAAGTGACGTTAAGGGAGTAGCTTCTGTTCCAAGCTGCGCGAATGCCTTTGGGGCTAGGGTCCTTGCGCATGATGCCATCAAAAGATCCGCCTACCACACATCAGTCTGCCGCATTGGAGAGACAGAGAACAGCACATACCGGCATTGTTGATTAGCGAGTCAATGTGACCATAATTGCTCTCGATGTTCTTGAATGCGTTTTCGACCGACGCATCGTCCTCAATGTCTATTTGGACAGGGACGATATCTGACTTGGACTCCAAGACTTCCTCCTTGAGCTTGGAGATGGCATCGTTGGCTTTTTCGAGAGAGCGGCTGCCCATCAGGATGGTGTGCGGTTGTGGTGAAGAATACAGAGCCTTTACGGTCTCGTACCCAATGCCAGTGTTGCCGCCCGTGATGAAAACGATTGAAGAGTCTGCCATTTCGTTTGGTGTGTTGCGATACAAATCTGTATACTAGTACAATCCGAAATATCTATGAACAAAGTGTCACGGTTTTTTCGTTGTCTCGTTGGCTCGGGGCTCGTTAGCTCTGTCCCCCTCTTTATACTTAGGCCCGAGAAGAACTTCGTGGGCTTCCTCGCCCGGAGTTAGGAAGATGTCGCCCGGAGTTAAAGCTACCCGCATCGCGCGCAATCGCACCTTGTGCCAGCTTGACACCTACCCGTAGACATTGAAATGATATTTGACATACAAGTTGTGACTAAGAAATTCGAAGGATCGAAACGACATACGAGGACGAGACTAGAGAATTTCTTCTAGCTAAGTTGCACCGCGACCACAACGTAAGGTGATGACGTCAGGCCAGGGCGTGTTTCTGCATCATGTAGGTAAGCGATTCTCAATTCCGGATTTAAGGTGCTGATGTTTGCCGAATATTGTCGTTGGTGTACATTCGCGTTGAACGATTCTTTGTGGACGCGCTGATAACGAGCACTGTGCAGACGAAGAAGACAATTCACTCAATGATCATTATGGAAGATGCGTTACTACCTCATGCTACGAAATCTTAGAGACTGTCATCTTCATAACAACGGCAAGTAGGATCTGTCTGTACATATGAAGAAAAGACCATGGCAGTGGAAGAGACGAAGAGACCGTTGACTGCTCAAGTGCTTCCACGATGAACCAGATTAGCGACTTCCATCATTGTTGAAGTTGCTGATGAACACGACGAGTACAGCGCAATATGCCGCACTGGCACCAAACAGCTCGTGCCGCTTTGCCTTCGTCACAAGTGACATGGCCGCCGAGAACAGAAGCGTGAAAACAACCAGGATACCGACGGCGTCGAAGGTTGAGTTGCGGTCACCAACTGAAGTCAGCTTATACATAGCCACGACTGGTAAAACCAGCAATACGAAAATTATGAGCGTGATTATCAGCCCGACTAGCTTTTCGATGCGTGAATGCGAGTAGTAGAAGATACACTTGTCGCTTGTCTTCTTGCGAAGCTCTTCAGTTGCGAATAGTTTCTGGGAGGATTAGACTTGAAATATACGCCGATAGACAGTAGCGGCTTACTTGAGTGAGCCCACAATGTACTCTCTGTAAACATGACTCGATGAGACCATCGAAACCTGACCACTCGCGGCCATGTCGAAGTGAGACGAGATCTTCTTTCCGCTTTATGAACTGCTCCTCCACTTCATAATTTAGTGGTTTCACGTTGAAGAACCATGTTCGAAAGCTTCGATAATCGCGCTTTGATGGACGCTGGAAAGCGTTGAGGTCACGAGCTCTTGAGAGTATTTCGTCTATAGTACCGTAAGTTATCGGGTGCTACACATGCTGTTTTGATACATACCATAGTCGACAAGCTTGGATCTGATATTATTGATCAATCCGGCACGCACACTGTTAGTCTTCTCCCGCTTGGCCTGCATCAGGTCGCTGTTTCTTGACATCAGTCGTTTCCCGTCACCATTGTGGAAATCAATCTCGTCCATGTCGGAAAGTTCTTTCTCCATACATCGGAGCTCGTCTTGGAGTTCCAGGATAACTCGGGAGTGTAGGTAGTTGAACCCACGGTATATGGACCAGCTGGACTCGCTGGATTGGAACGCTGCTTGTTGCGGGTAACCCTTCCTATACTCCTCCACTGCCGTAACTTTAGCATCTTTGTCAACAAAAGACACGTTGTCTGAACATACGGGGTATCGTTATAGTTTCTCTGATGCTGTTGTGTTTGATTTGAGCAGCTGAAAATTTGGCCGCTTTGGTGTTGGTGTCGTGAGGATCTAGCGACTTCTTTCCTGTGTCATTCACCGTGAAAGTTGTTGCACGACTATCGCGTTCCATCGCCGTATCATTTGAGTCTTTTGGAATCGAGATTATACCCTTTTCCAAATCAGGCATGTCGAAAAGAAGAGTGCTGGGCGAATGCATCGTGGATTGGTGTCTACAACGACCGAAGCAGCAATGTGAGTATGTCAGTGAAGCGCGGGATACAAATAGATGGGAGGAGGCTAGTGTTCTGAGGAACTGCAATACTTTTGTAGTGGCATGATTGGGAAGGCTGAGAATACCCGCAGATCACAACAGCTTCGAGCTGGGACCATCTTGCGGGACGTTACCCAATGGTAACCCTGAAACGTGCCCAGGTGGCAATACCGTGAGCGCCTCAACCACTCTCCAAAAGACTTTCTTTAAACCATTTGCCTTCTTCCCAGGATGTATTCGTGAGGGCATCGGTCAGCTGATATTCGTAGTGATCAGATACGAGACGCGACGCAGCGACGTCCAAGGTCTTGTGACTCTTCCTGGTACTTCCATCGATCTTTGTTTGAGTGATCAACATCGTGACGCTATCGCCTTTGCTGAACTGCGCATCACGCTACCCGTAGTTATCACCCATTAACATTGTTCACATCTCAAGATTCATTGCTTACCATCGTAGGGTTGCTACTAATGCGCACGCCCGATTTGAGTCGCTCGTTCCCAGAGGAGGTTTCCTAGAGTCAGCGAAACAGAACCGGTCAGCAATAGACCCAGTCAATGATGCCTACGTGGCGGAGCCCACGAGGTCTCACCTGGTCCGACATTTGGAGCAGTATCGTTGGTAGATCAGCAGATGATAGATGAGCACTCCGGTCGCCTCGCCGTAATGATAATGCCTAAGGCAATAAGGTAGTTCATAGGCGTACTGGCGCCCTCCAAGTCTCAGGCTTCCTGGGTTGTAAGGCATACCCCAGGCGACACTGTCCGTCCTTATAGCCCCGAAGCACGCCAGTCTGGGCCGTTTTGGGAGCTTGAGCCTCAGGTTCTCTGATCGTTCGGACGGCTGACTTGATTGCTACCGTGGTGGTGGGTCGGCTACGATTGTGGTTGGAAGAATGCTGATTGCGGCGCGATCCGCAGGACGAACGTCGGGGTCTGACATCCAATAAAAACGAAGGCAAAGTGGGCAGAATACAAGGCAAACCTTGCCTTATCGTTTTTCGATTGCTCGGGGCTAAAACGCCTATGCTGTGTACTCAGGTAGGTATGTCAGCAATGCCACAGGACACAGGTGAACGTACCGGAAGAAACACAGCCCATTGTGGTGCTACAAAAAGAGGACCGATCCCTCAATGGCCGCCCTAAATTTTGAGAGTTGCACGGGAATCCGCCATGACGACACAACAGATGCTGTCCGACGTGACACGAGAGCGAAGCGAACAATTGGCCGGCTACAGTCCTCCGCCGATGAAGATCTCGCGTAAGAACTCCGCCAATGTATCGGATGACGCAGCCACGCGAAAACAAGAAGAGAGCCGAGACGCTCTGAGGCAGGCTATATTCCAAAAGACCGCCAATGAGGCTTTGCAAATACCAAATGGCTATCTCAAAGTTGCAGTGAAAATCATTCGCTGGAATGAGAACATTGACGATTTCAAGGGCCACGCTGAAGAAGTTAGTCCTGCCGAATTGGCTAACGCCAATACCACGACTACTTACTGACCTAGATGCATAGATCGCGCGACTGGAACGCATTTTCCGAGACAGGTTCGGCTATCAGTGTTCCGTACATTCCATCGACGACAACAAAAAGCCCCAGCTCGACATCAATAAGGCTATTCTGGATCATGTGTTTGAGCACGATGACCCACATAGCCTGCTGATATTCTACTACACCGGACATGGAGCAGAAGATGCCGAGAAACTACTCGAGCTGTCAGCGTGAGTTTGACCCATCGATGTCTCGTGTCAATGCAAACTAAAGAGTCAGCTCCGAGACCATCAGGCTTACTGGGCGGCACGAGGCAACAGCGAGCTGGCCCAAAGCGGAAATTCCGATTCTGAAGGAAATGCAAGGTGACGCTCTTGTTGTACTTGATTGTTGTATGGCAAGCCTTGCTGCCAAAGGCAGAAACCTAGGAACGCGGACCTATCAGCTGTTGGCAGCAGTATCGGAAGATATGAAAACTTTTGGTCCAGGCCCAAGATCGTTCACGACAGCATTCTGCAACTCTCTCGAAGAATTGTTAGATGAAAGAGATGGAAAACCCTTTCTGATGACACAACTCGTCGAGAAAATCAACAAGCAGCGAAAAAGACAGGCATGTCTGATGTGGGATCGACTCAGCAGCTATAAACGTACTCTCCAGCTGGTACCCTTGCATCAGCATCAGACACAGGAGCGCGAGGCGGCCTTTCAAACGAGTGACTTGGAGAAAGCGTCCTTAGGTCTCCGATTCTCCTTGAAAGAAAACGACTTAAGCGACGAGCTCGTCCAAAAGTTTGCAGAGCATCTACCTCGCATCTGCCATGACATCGGACTTCCCCTTCGACGTATCTACTGGGAGGGCATGGCGACGAGAAAGCCAGCTATGAACAGGATTATCGAGCCTCTGAACGACGAAGATTATGACTGTCCAAGTGACAGCGTACGCGATGCTACAATCAGGACATTTTTCGGTGCCGCTACACATCTGAATACCCGCGTCAGGGTGTTGAAGGCGCTGAAAAAGAGGCGCGAAAGTCGTTTACTGAGTCCTGAGGAAACAGGTGGAAGCCTCGTGCTCTTCGCTAAAACAATGATGCTTGTCTCCATAGGCTTGGCAGGTGCATTGCTCTTTACGGAGCGTAAGGAGAGATACATCTTATTCGGGACTGCGGGGATCGTGGCGTTGGCTTGCAAGGCGTAGTGTTTGAAGTAGGAGCTAAGAACGCATGGAAAGAGGTGACAAGACGTGAACACACCGGTAACTTTGAAGTAGGGGAGCTTGGTGTTATGACAGCTCGGTCCAGACATCAACAGACTCGGTAAATCGCCGTAGTCAATTTGCAGCAGCTAGTTGCTTAATCTTGCGCGTGACCTCGTGACGGATGATCTACGCGCTTGGCTGAAACAGGACAGCTCCGCCGCCTATCTCCGCATCATCGCGTCAACCCAGCCACCGTGCCAGCTGCCATAGACGTTATCACAGTTCTTGCTAGCATCTACACTCCAGCAAACATGAAGTCAACGACTATCTTACTACCTCTGTACACTGCAGCCCTTGCAGCTGCAGTTTCGCATCCCAAGGACCCCCAGGCGGTCCTGCAGGAGCCTCAGCTTACTATCATCGAGCCAGACGAGTATCTTATCGAGCTGTCTCCGGGCGAGACAAGATGGGTTACCGAAGATGAGAAGTGGGAGCTGCGTAAGGTATGACATCCCAGCACCGACAGCAGATAACGTGGAGCCTACCGCTGACACGATGCAGCAAAACATCAACTTCTTCGACATCACGCACAATGAAGAGCTCGGCACGCTCGACCGCCGGTTCAAAGCCGAAAGCGTCAAGTTCCCCGAAAAGCCTGTACACAACGAGACCATCGTTCCCCTGCTCAAGAAGCTGGAGAAGAACAACATGCGCGAGCATCTCGAGACCTTCACCTCGTTCCACACGCGATACTATAAGTCCAAATACGGAGTCGAGAGCTCGGCATGGCTTCTTGGCCAGGTCAACAAGACTCTCGCGGATGCAGGCGCTGTCAAAGCCTCCGTGAAGGCGTTCCCTCACCCATGGGGCCAGTCCTCCATCATCGCCACCATTCCTGGCAAGAGCGACAAGACAATTGTCATCGGCGCTCACCAGGACAGCATCAACCTCTTCTTCCCAGCTCTCCTGGCCGCCCCAGGCGCCGACGACGACGGCAGCGGTACCGTAACTATCCTCGAAGCGCTGCGCGTACTCCTCAAGTCGGAAGAGATCCTCAAGGGCGAAGCAGACAACACAATTGAGTTCCACTGGTACTCTGCTGAGGAAGGAGGCCTCTTGGGATCGCAGGCCATCTTCCAGTCCTACGAGAAGGAGGCTCGCAAGGTCAAGGCTATGCTTCAGCAGGACATGACCGGCTACGTCCAGAAGACGCTGGACGCGGGCGAGCCTGAGTCTGTTGGTGTCATTACTGACTTCGTTGACCCCGGTCTCACCGAGTTCATCAAGAAGATCATCACTGTCTACTGTGGTATTCCGTATGTTCTGACCAAGTGCGGTTACGCCTGCTCAGATCACGCCAGCGCGTCCAAGGCCGGCTACCCGTCAGCCTTCGTCATTGAGTCCGATTTCAAGTATAGCGACAACAAGATACACACGACCGAAGATAAGATTGAGTATCTGAGCTTCGACCATATGCTTCAGCACGCGCGTATGACGCTTGCTCTGGCGTATGAACTTGCTTTTGCGAAATTCGACTAGCGGCGATGAAGTAGGATAAGGTTTACTTCCCGCCGTCGACATGGAAATTTCGTAGTTATTGCACGAACAGCCAGCGGTTTTGCAGTCATGAATCGACGTATTGTTAATGATCCTCCAAAACATCGAGCACTCCATATGGTGTATATGCATGCGTCTGTCGCTGCATATGTGATTCGGTGTAGAGCGTACGCGCTAACACAATGCCCTAGTGGTGACCTGTTTACCCTCGTCCCGGAGCCGCGTCCGCATGGCTAGCTGAGATTCCCGAACGAACGTTGCTT